ACGATTTTGACGTTAAATATCTTCCTTGAATGGCTCTGATGACCTATTACTTTTTTGTGATCATTACAATCGTAATTTTTTTAACAATTATAATCTCGTGTTTTAAAGAAATCTATATCTCCGACACTTATCTGTCGCTAGATTATACGTTACATTTTCAACATTTTTTTTCTCTTTTAGTTCATCGATAATTGCACACGTCAAGTCCGATACTTCGACTTCATTGTATTAAAAAATTAGATATTTCTACACGCAAAAAAAATATCATTTTATTGCTAAGAAAAATAATTACTCAATTTATTTCCTTCCTTTTAAGTAATAGTTATCTTTAACAAAGAATATTTTTTCGATAATAATCTTAAAATATGCTTATTACAAAATTGTAGAAAAATTTTAGAAAACTATTATATGTTCTTAAAACAAGAATTTATTTTCTTTTGGAGAATATTATAAAATTGATTGAAGAAACGATCTTTTCATAATAAACAAATCAAATTTGTTTTAATTTAATAAACTTTATGACGCTCGTACGGAATACAAGAGATCCGGATTCAAGTTCCGGCCGAGGTAATATTTTTCGCGATAAATTTATTAACAGTTTTAACATATTAACATCTTTATAATATGATGCTTGATGATAGCATTAAAAATTATTAAATTGTTTGTCAATTTAATTCGTGATTACTAGAGTAGTTTTAATTGCGTTTATAGTCCGGAAAAACAATTCGGCGCGCAGTTTGAAAAAACTACAATATGGTATATATGCAAGTATATATATAGTGTATATTAGTAATTCAAGATTAAATTATTTAAAGCAATGAAGATCCAGCTTCGACCGTAATAGGCATTTTTTAATTTCTAGTATTAATTGTGTTTCTCACATATGCTGTTTAAAATAAAGATTCGTAATATTGTTTATTAAAGTATTAAATTTTTTAATTAGAATTCAGAAGATATTTTGAATAAATTTAATGCTTGTGATGAAACTTATGATAGATTTGCGGATATGTGAACTTTTGGAATACTTAAAATAAATAATTACTTTCATAGAGTAATTATTACTTGCGTATTTTTCTGTGTGTATGGGAACTCGATGTAGAATTACTTTAAAGAACGGGCATGCGTTGTCGAGACGCGCTCGGTATACCTTTAATTCACGCGCTGACCTTTTGATCGGGGGCGTGACCGCTGCCCGCATTTTTACACGAGAGTGCTTTTTCTTCCCCGTTGTCTTCGAGTCTTTCGTATCGAGCCGCGCGTAATCAGCCGCGACTTATCAGCGTTTGCGACGTGCTCGCCCTTATCAGTGTTGCACGACCGAATCGATTTGAAGAGCGAAAAACGATCGTTGTGGAATATTTACGGTTGACGGTCGAATATCGGTAACGATTGCGCGACGCTCGTGCGAAAATACAATCACTGCCAATGTCTCGATAACGATGGTGCAGTTTTTCAAGGTGGAATAAGTTCTCCTTATAGAGAATCGTGGATGTCTCGTGAATCCCGCGTCTTTCAAAAATTTGAAAATTACACGGAAAGAATGATTTTGTTGAAATATTTACAAATTTAGATAGACGCAAATATGAAAATAATTTTGTTAAGTTATCAAAATAATTATGTACACTGAAAAAAATTTTCGGTTGAAAATGGACGAACCAGAAAATTTTGATCATTGATATCGATTAAAATTCTGGTTATCTTAATTAGAATCATAACAGATTCAAATCAGAAAATACTGATTCGTCCGTTTTCAACCAGAATTCCAATTAAAGTAATTAGATTATTTTTAGTGTATAGAGGAAATTCAAATAATACTGCAAAAGTTTTGATATTTTAGCAAATAGCTTGAAGGTCCTACATAATTATTTTGTTTTTCTGATAAGTATTGAAGAAGAGCTAACCCAAATCGAGGTCAAAACTTATTGTATGTATAATACTTTGTATATAATTATATGCGAATATACACAATAATTCACACGCCGTTAATTGCTTACAGGTAAGTCATGCTCTTACAGGCTTTTATTCTATCTTTTACTTTATAATTATTTTAGTCCAACAAAGTTATTTTTAGCTCTGGTTAAATTTTAGATATTTTAGAAAAATCATTCTTTCCGTGTATCACAAGCGATGATGAAATGATCTGAAAATATATTTTGAAATTCATAGAATGCGAATAAATAAAAATGTATATCGGGGACATTTTGATAAGTAAATAGTGACCGATATAACGCAGAATAAATGTTGACACTTTATATACGAGTCATATGATTTTAATCATATATCTTTCGATGACAGATTTATTTACAATTATAAATACGAGATATGCGTATCACAAGTGTCTGTCCAAAGTTACTTGCGTAATTACAGATTAATATAATTTATGTGACAAGTTTATACTTTGTATAACATATAAATACACAAGAGATTAAGTTTACATGGAAATAACGGTTTTGCTGAAGTATTTAAAAATTAAGCCAGTTACGTATCTGAAAATTATTACGTTGAATTATCAAAATAATTATGTAGGACGCATGATAATGATGCAAAGGTTTTCACATTCTAACAACCAGTTGGAACGTTCGGTATAATTATTTCAATGATTCAACATATAATTCTTTTCAGATCTTTATTTAACTAAATTTCTAGATACTTGAGCAAAATTGTTCTTTCCGCGTAGAATTATCCCCAGTAACACATGTTGGTTTTATATATGCATTTCTTAAACGTTTGTAAAACATTAGATACGTTTAGGAAACGTTATATAAAACGTATGTGAACCAATAGCTGCTACCTGGGACGTAAATTAAGTATTAAGAAAAGCAATGTGCATGAGAAAGAAGCGCGTGTATAAGCATATGACGCCTGGGGATCTCCATATTGCATATCGGACCGAAGTAAAATCGTCTATAAATCGCATAGAAATCGGAGCGGCGAAGATCGTGCGCGGACGTGTGAAAATGGACCACTCGCTTCTACATGACAGTAGCGGTCGACGGCGCGGTGCGGCGCGG